GTCATAAGTTTACTATTCAAAAAAACACGTGAAATCAGAAAAGGCCAACTTCAAGTTAGGGCAGACCAAGCATTTTATTATTATATAATAATTTTATTAATTAAAAACTGGAGCTGAGTATAATAGCCCCTAGGTGAGTATAATAGCCCCATTAAATAAAACTTTGCTGAAATAAAAATTCTACAACCAGAGAAAATTTTTTTTTTGATTTACAGAAACCATTTTCTTTGGCATGTTTTCTTTTATTCAAAATAAAAAAAAAAATTTTCTTCTAAACATTTCAAAATAAAGTAATTTTGTTTTCCACATAATTATTGGTTATTAAATAAAATGTATATTATAGTAAAAAATAATAAAAATTTTTTATATACTTATCCTTAAAACCCATAAAAGAAAAACTACTATAAAATCTTCAACTTTTTTCAAAAATATTTATTTCCTGTTATTTTGCACTTAAATATAGATTTTCAAATGCCCTCACATGGAAAGTAATAAAAGGCTATAAATGATAATGGAGGAGATGTATGCAGGTTGAGACACGTTCAGACATGCATATTGTGACGCGCAGAGTCACTTGACTTTACTTCGATAACTTGATATTTATTCTAGAACAAATTTTTTTTATTAATTCCATAAATACTATAGAAATCACGTAGAATATATTCCAATTATTATAAATCCCAAAAGTATCTAAATCAACCCTTAACGATCATCCCTCACTAAACATTTAAATAAATTGGCAGTAACTGTGGGACAAATAAACTAAAAAATTTTGGGACGTATGATTATGTTCTAAAAATTATTATAGTCAGAAATTTCAGTCTATCGAATTTCATTTGTCATAATTAGTTTTAAACCGAATTTTTATTTGTTCGAATTAGTATTTTGCAGAATTTTTATTTCATCGAATTTTCATTTAACATAATCGGCATTTTAAAGAATTTTTATTCGGTAGAATTTCATATTGCATAGAATTTTTATTTTATTCTTTTAGATAAATTTTCATTTGTTAGAATTATTATTTGATATAATTTCCATAAAATCGATTTTTCTGCAGAATTTTTAATTAAGCGAAATCTCATTTAACAGAATTTTTAATTGATAGAATTTTTATTTGTCCGAAATTGCAAATGGCCTAACAAATAATCGATTTCGGCGCGATTTTAAAAATCAACCAATCACAATTTTATGGATAATTTTTTATTGATTGATTTTTAAAATCGCGCCAAAATCGATTGTTGTTTCGACCATTTGCAATTTCGGATAAATGAAAATTCTATCATTTAGAAATTTTGTTAAATGATTTTTCGGTTAAGTAAAAATTCTGCAGAAAAATCGATTTTATGGAAATTATATCAAATAATAATTCGAACAAATGAAATCTCATCTGAAAGAATAAAATGAAAATTCTATGCAACCTATGCAATGAAATTCTACCCAATAAAAATTCTTTAAAATGCCTATTATGTTAAATGAAAATTCGAGCAAATAAAAATTCTAGCAATTAAAAATTCAAACAAATAAAAATTCTGCAAAGTGAATTTTCGATTATATAAAAATTCTGTAAAATAGAAAATCGGTTTGATGAAAATTCTGCAAAATACTAATTCGAACAAATAAAAATTCGATTAAAAAATAATTATGACAAATGAAATTTCATAAAATGAAAATTCTGACGATTTTTAGAACATAATCATGCGTCCCTATATAAATTGAATTAAAAATTTGTTGATAACAATTTTCATTAAAAATATATTAAATTAGTCCTTTTTGGAATAAATTATGTTTCTCAGTAACGATAAAATTAATCCCTTTTTTTATTTTAAGAAAATGAAAAATTTTAATTATAAGAAAAATTGTTTTGACTATACATATTTAATATTTAATTTTATGATTGTTATTTCTAGTTTTAAAATTAACTGTTATTATAAAGTATGTAACAATGAAAAGAAAATGCTAATCGTGAGTTTTATTTTTATTAGTGCAAGTAATATAGTTTTTGCAATATTTGTAATTTAAAAATAGGCCCCCATTTTCAAGACGTCATAAATATTTAGCATTCTCTAAATTCGAAAATTTATTTCTATTCTCAGAAAACTTCTTTCTCTATCGAATACAAAAAAAAATTTTCCTCTAATTTAACATCGCCACCTGAGTTCGAAATTATAGTTGAGGTATTGTTATTTTACGAAGAGAGTTTTTATTTTATTATATAGGTATCTCCTTTTATTGAGGATCCTTGAAAATAGGGTCCCAGATTTATCTCAATGCGATCGGCCTTTTCAATTGTATTTTGGAAGAATAGCTTCTCAGTTGAGGTGGGCTTTCCTTAAAATTTAAGTACAAACCGAGGTACAAACATTAAACGGTTGTAAAAATTAAACACGCTGCTTTACATTGTAATTTTTTTAACGACAAAATTTTTTTCTAAAATTCTTCGAAATTTTAGTGTCTTATTCGTTTAAGAAAGGCTGAAAATATTTTTACCCTATCCTATACCAAAGAAACTCAAACTCAATACCAAAAAAATTTTGTAGAAATTTGTATTTTTCGAAAAAAAAATTATGAAACTCGGATTTTATTCCGCCTGGTAATATTTTTTTTTTTTACTTTATTCGTAAAAATACAACTGAATATTGAATTTTATTTTTCTAGGTTTAAAAATCGTAAAATTTAAGGAAAAATTGCATTTTATTTTGAAAATATCATTCCTAATCTAAAAAAAAATTTAGTAATTATAATAAAATTTCTATAACGGTAATAATTTTCGACTAACTTTTTAAAAATTATTTATAGAATATAAATAGTTAAAATTTTCATACAGTTTAATTCGATGTTTTTTTTTTATTTTATGAACAAAACACAATTTTTAAACCACAAATATAATTATAATTATAATTATTTTTATAGACGAATTTTTATTTTTCGAATTAACATTTGATCAGAATTTCTTTTTAAACAAATTTTTACTTTACGGAATTCTTATGTATCGAATTTTTATTATACAAAATTCTTAAAACGCCGAATTTTTATTTGTCCGAAATTGCAAATGACCGAAAAAACAATCGATTTTGGCGCGATGTTTAAAATCCACCAATCAAAAATTGTCAAAAAAAAAAAAAAAAAATAGTGATTGGTAGATTTTAAAAATCGCGCCAAAATCGATTGTTTTTTCGGTCATTTGCAATTTTGGACAAATAAAAATTCGTCATTTTAAGAATTATACCAAATAAAAATTGCCTAAAATTTCTGTTAATTAAAAATTTGTTTAAAATAAAATTCTGTCAAATATGTTAATTCTAAAAATGAAAATTCGTGTAAAAAAATAATAATATTTAATAAAATTTGTTAAAAATGAAAATTCTTACTAATAATTTTTATGGGTTAATCATGCACTTCGAAATTTGTTTTGAATGTCCGACGGAGACGCTAAAGATGAAATAAAAAAAAAAAGTTCATTATGTAAATAAAAAAGACATACAATTAGAAACTAACGCCTTTTTATTGAATCATATATAATTCGCTTTTGGAAAATATGATAATATATTATGTATATAATGTAACAAGAGATATAATTAGAATGACACGAGTTTTTTTTATTTTTTTTTTTTCTTAAGCGATTAATCCGCCTTTTTTCCTTTACGATATTGTGCACATTATTTATTTCTGATGGTCGTTCATTTTATTTTATACTCCCTTCTTTTTTTTGTTTTCATAATTGATGGAGTTTATTATACTCGTCGATAAAATCGAGCCTACAGCAAAAACGTCTGAGAAAAAATTTTCTTTTTATATTTTTATTAAATAATTAAATTAAATATGAAGAACAAATTTTTTTTTTATGAAGAAAAATAGTTAAACGCACTATTGAGAAGAATAATATTTATAAAATATAGAAACAGTCTTTATTTATGTATGGGGAATTAAAAAATTTTTATGCGTTTGTAAAATTGTCTATAGTATTACGTTCAGTAGAAATAGATAACAAGATCAAAGTTAGAAAAATGTAATTAATTTTCTAAATATTTGAAAAAAATTGTTTATAAAAAAATTCTTTTTTTTTCTTTCACAATATTAAAATATGTATTTAATCAAAATTATAATTACAAAAAATTTTTTTTAATCAAACGATTTTGCTGGCTTGATTATTTTTTCTCCTAATGGAATGCGGAAAAAATATCGAGAATTAAATTAAAGTTCGTGAAGTAAAAAAAAGGCAGAATCTACATTTTTTTTTTTTTTGATAAAATTGAAAAAAAGGAAAAAATAATAATGCCAAAAAAAAATTTAGTGAAAAAATTATTTTATCACGCATCAATTCTGCTAAATTGTTTTTCATTCCACGAACTGTACAACAATTTTATTAACTTATATAATTTATATCGAAGATGACTTTTCAAAATAGAGAAAGGAGATGGTAAAAGAGAGAAAGAGTGAAAGGACTTTGGTCGCTATATAGATAACTAACATTTGCGCGATATTTCATATTTTTACTTTTTACTTATATGACAAAACAACGATTTTTTTTTTATTAAATTAGTAGCACGCTTTGAATTCAAAAAAAAAAAAAATAAACAAAAAAAACAATCGAAAAATTCCATTTTTATATTGAAATCACAGGACAGCAAATTTCCCTCCTCTTTGGCCTCGGATTTTTCAAAACTCAATAACTAGAAAATAATCTGGAGTGAAATCTCTTCCTTTGATTCAATTTCCTGTCAAAAATCTTGTAAAAATTTCAAAATCTCTTTTTTAAAAAAAGATTAAAAAATAGTTTTTTAAAATTTCGGTTTTAAAAATTCAGTTTAAAATTTTGGTAAGAAAAACTTTTTTTCAAGATATTTTGACAGGAATGGAAATTTGAAGTTTAACTAGTTTTTTTTTCTCTTTTTTTTCTTTTGGTTTATTTTAATAAAAATAACGATAATTCGATGCGTTTTGTGGCTTTGGTGACACATTCGTTTTTTTTTTTTATTAGTCTATATATATTTGTTTATATATATATATATATATGTATGTATGTTTTTTTTTTAATGAAAGAATAACAAAAGCAAGAATCTCACAAATGTCGTTCGTATCCATAATCGTGTTTCTCGTCTCGTATAAATATCGTTAATTAAATAATAAATCACATTTTCGTGTTTAAAAAAAAACAAATGACACTTGTGAGTTGATTATTATTCTGTAACAGCCGAGAATTATTTCAGAGATCTTTGAATCTTTAATTAGGTACATTACTACGGTCTTAGTTTAATCTACAAACTAGAATCACTTTTTTTCTTCCCTCATAAAAAATATTTCTTTCCGAAAAAAAAATTTTTTTACCAACAATTTTTCAAAGTTCTTAATTTTTTTAATAAAAAAATTAACATTTTTTTTAATTAAAAAAGTTTTAATTAAAAAAGAGACAAATTTAATACGGGAAATTATTAGAAATGATTTTTAAAAAAATTTAAATAATGATCTGCTTTAAATACAGGAAAGTAGTTAAAAAAAAGAAATAGGCAAAAATTTAAATAAAATTAAAAATAAATAAATAGATTTAAAAAATGAATTTAATATAAAAATTTGTATATATAATAAAAGATATTTTAATAAAAAGATAAAATAGTATACCTATGAATAAAAAAAAATATATAGAAATTTCTAAAATTGTTTTTTCGACATAAATATTTTTATTTTTTTGAAAACCAGTTTGAAATTTATTGAATTGAAATATAAAAATTATTTCAAATTTAAATTTTAATATTTTACAAATTAAATTGTAAAAGTTAAAAATGTGAAAATGTTTTATTAAAGAAATTCGGTTTTTTTATGAAGGAAGAAAAAAGCTAAATCTACAAACTTAAGTACAATCACCGTAAGCAAAGCTTCTGGATGGAATCCACTTTGTATTTTTCGCTGAACGAGACAAAAAACTTTTTATCGGTTTTTATAAAAATATAATCATTTAACTTTTAAAATAAATATTTTAATAATATTAATAATAATAAAAATAATAAAATAGTAATAAAATAATAATAGTAATAATAATAGTAATAACAGTAGTAACAATAATAGTAATAATAATAATAATAAAAATAATAATCATGATAATAAAAATAATAGTAAATTGTAATAAAAATTTAGACATTTACTTTGTTAATATAACTTTTTAAATAAGTAAATTCGATTTTTATATTTTATAAAAAAAAAAATTAGATTGAATTTTCGTTCGTAATGACAAGACATCAAAAAATATTCTTAGTGTATATTTCAGGAGAAATTAGAAAGAAATATGTTGTTTAATTTTTTATTAAAATAAATAATAAGTTTCATTAAAAAGTTGTTTCAAAAATAAATTTATTTATTATAATCAATAAATTTTTTTAAAAATATTATTTCAAGAAACATTTTTTTTTTTATTCAATTGACACTTTTTTTAATGATTCTTTTTATTTAAATCAAAAATGTCGACATTTTCACTGAAAATACATGTAAAATTATTTAAAAAAAAAAAATTGTTTCTATTGAAAAAAATTGAAAAATATCCACAAATAACTTTTATCAGACTTTTTTCTGATTCAACTCATGCCTCAAAAGGTCAAAAAAAATTTTTCGAAAAATGGAAGATATATGATAAAAAAAAAAGTTAATATCTTTAGGCATTTATTTTCGTGCTGAAATTTATAAAAAAAAATATTTTTTTTAAAGTTATATTTTTTTTAATTCATTTTTTTTTTTTTTTTTTTTAATCTTTCATGATTTTTAAATACTTTCGAAAAAATTTTTTTTTTCTTTTTAGACATGAAAAAAATGTGTTATTCTTAACGTATCAAAATTTTGAAAAAAAAAATATAAATGAAAGAGGAAAAAAAAATTCTTTTTCCAAATGAAATTTTGTGTCCCGTTCATTATAGTTTTACAGACGGAGATTTTACATGGTCGTATGTTGCCATTGCGTTTCACTATAGATACATAAGACTAGCTACTGAATACGTTTACCAATCGATCAACTAATTTCAACTCAGCTACTTTTGCATTGAGATGAAAAAGAGAGGAAAAACCCCTCTTTTATTGCGCATTCAAAAAATATAACAGTTGCATTCCCTTCAATAAATTATGGCTTTCTTAAGCGTATAAATATTCTTTGGTCAAAATCACATTCAGCCTCAAGTAAAACTTGAAAAAAAAAATTTAATTTTAAAAAAATTATCAGAATAAAACATGATGTAATAAATTAATTCATTTATAAACCAAAAATCGGTTTGTTTAATTAAATTCAAAGACAAATAATATATCTCATTTTTTACAAATCAATTAATATTAATACATTTTTTCTTCACATTTTAAAAGAATTACAATTTTCAAAAATTTTTAAGGTTAAAAAAAATAGAAGTTGAATAAAAATATTAATTAAGGTTGATAAAAATCAAATGACTTTTTATTTAAAAGAATTTTAATTTAGCAAAATTTTCTTTTAAATCGAATTTTATGTGATTCGAATTTTTAAACTGAGAAAAATTCCAATTCAACGAATTTTAATTTGTTCTAATTTTTATTTGTAAGAATTTTTAATTATGCGAATTATTAAGACGCCGAATTTTTATTTGTCCGAAATTACAAAATGACCGAACAAACAATCGACAGAAAGAATATTCAATATTCGATATTCTCGATATTCTGCTACAAAAAAAAAAAAAAAATACGGCGCAATTTTTGAAAATTGATCAATTAAAAATTATCAAAATAAATCGTGATTGGTCAATTTAAAAAATTGCGCCAAAATCTTTCTGTCGATTGTTTGTTCGGACATTTTGTAATTTCGGACAAATGAAAATTCGGCGTCTTAAAAATTTGTACAATTAAAAATTCGGACAAATTTAAAATTCGAACAAATTTAAAATTCGTCGAATTTAAATTTCTGTCAATTCAAAAAATAGAATATCGAATCAATTCGATGAATCAATTTGATTTTGATGGATTTATTAAAAAAAAAACACAGTAGTATTTAAAAATTAAATTATTTTTTTATGATAATTGTTCATTTAACGTTCAAATTTCTTTTGATTACAAGTTGTAATTTTTGTTTTTTTATTATAATTATGTAAATTAATTTTAATATTAAAAATATTAAAAATATTCAAACTTTTAAAAAAATAGGCCTCAACGATTTTTTTGTTGAAATTTAATGGATTGAACCTTTCATTCGATTATTTTAATAATAATTTTATTTCAACAAAAATAAATTCAAAATTTCAATACCTTCGACCGGGGCTATTCTACTCAGCAAGGGGCTATTATACTCAGTATTTAATTAATAAAATATTTATATTGAAATATTTAATAATAAATTAATTAAAAATAATTTTTTTACTAAACGTAGATTTTAGTAAAATGTTTAACTTTCAGTTAAACAATTGTTATAGAAATTTTTTTTTTTAATTTTCTTTTTTTTTATCGTAATCTAGACTATGTGTAGAAAAGATTTTATAAATCTAAAGATGTATAAAAAATTTTTAAGGATATTTTATAAATAAACAAACTTTGCTGAGTATAATAGCCCCAATAACGTTTGGGGCTATTATACTCACCACTTAGTTTCTATAATTATGGTAAAAAAAAAATTCTTTTGTCATCTAACTTACAGAATACCTTCTTTTTGTTGAATATAATAGCCCCGCTTGACGGTAATTTAATTTTTATTTAAATTTAAAAAAAAAATTAATATATTTCTTATTCATATGCAATTGAAAAATCAAGTTTAACTTTAATGGCTGAAAGAGATTACTCCAAAAAAGCGTTATTATATATAGCGAAATGAGGTAGAACCGAAGGTGAAAAAATAGACTTTAGATCGTATTGTATTTCGATCTGAAAGACACTTTAATTCCCGTAAACGTACTCAGTAAAAGTATCTTTATAGATTCGCATTTATATAATTTTCGACATTTTTCGTGTAGTTTCTCTCCCCCCCCTTTTAATATTATAAGCCTTTATGCTTAAATATATAATTCACATTCTTTATAAGATCTGTAAAACCGCGGTTAAAATATCTTCACGTTTAATGCGTGTATATATATATATATTTATTTATATATACTTATATATTTATTATAATATTAATAATAAATAAATAAATATATATTCATTTTATATTTGTATTTATATAATCACTGTAATAGTAGATAAAATTCTGTGAGTGACTCTCTTTGCGCAGTCCTTACTCTTGAGTAGTGAATAAAAACTCGGGACTCTCCTGGTCATCTTCCTTTCCCCCCCCCCCCAGCCCTCGCACTAGTAGAATCACTTAACTCTTTTTTTTTAAACGATAATATCATTAATAGTTTATCATTTCTCTTTTTCGCTTCTTATCGATAAATCGCTTTTTAATTTACTTCTTTCTCTCTATAACTTCATACTTTTTTTTTACATTTAGTTTTTCATTTCTTTTTTTTTTTTGGTATATTTTTTTTTATAGTCGCTTTTTTTGTACCTGGTTCCCTTTGCTTTTGTTTGTGATTTTTCTGTAATCTTCATTTTTTTTTCTTTTGCATTTAATGTTGTACCAACGGATTTTGACGGGTGATTGTCACCTTTATGGTTCCTAGAAAAGTAAGAAAGAAAAATTATTTTGAAAATTTTTTTATAAAAAACAAAAACATTGTCGCAAAAATTTTTAGCAGCCGAATTTTTTGTTTGTTAGAGTTTTTATTTTACAATCATTTTTCATGCATTTGAATTTTATGTGATTCGAATTTTGAAATTGACAGAAATTCCAATTCGACAAATTGACATTTGTATGAATTTTTAATTAATAGAATTCTTAAGACGCCGAATTTTTATTTGTCCGAAATTACAAAATGACCAAACAAATAATTGACAGAAAGATTTTGGCGCCATTTTTGAAAATTGACCAATCACGATTTTCTTGATAATTTCTAATTGGAAAATTTTTGGAAATTGCGCCGAAATCTTTCTGTTGATTGTTTGTTCGATCAATTGTAATTTCGGACAAATGAAAATTTAGTGTCTTAAAAATTCGGACAAAGAAAAATTCGGTGAATTGGAATTTCTGTCATCTTAAAAATTCAAATCACATAAAATTCAATTGAATGAGAATTCTGTTAAATTAAAATTCATTTAAATAAAATATCTTTTAAATAAAAAATTAAGTACAGAAAATGATTGTAAGAGAAAAATTGTGGCAAAAATTAGCTAGCTAAAAATTTTGTTACGTAAAAATTCCTATAAAAAAAATCTTGTGCCATTTTTATTTAAAAATTTATCTAAAAAATAATTATTTCTAATAAAATTCTTTAAAATGAAAATTCTAATGAATGCTTTTTAAGGGATAATCATGCGCCCGGTATTTTGTTTTTTTAAATGATAAATATAGAAATAAAAAAAATAACAAAAATTATAAAGTAGATTATTAAGAAAGAATCGGATAAATAATAGAAAAAAAGTTCAAAAACTTAATATTTTTTGAATTTGTAAAGAAAAGAAGAAATTTGCACTTTAAAATTTGTTGTAGTAATATAACTTTTTGTTTTAAATGTTCATCCAATTCTTTCTCAAAGCGATCAATAAACGAATAGTCATCATTTTTTATGTATATTTGAATTTTTGTACCTTATATCATATGATCTTCCGAGGGTTTTGCTTTTCAAAACAAAAAGAAAAATCAGAATAACTTTTCCAAAAAAAAAAATTCACATAAATTTATGTCGATAAACAAACATTAATAATTTTTAAATGTAAAAGTCATCAATTTTTTATTTATGCAAATAATTTTAAATCGAATAACGTAAAAAAATTATTTTCTTATATAAAAATTTTTTCAAAAAGATTTTTTAAAACTTTTCAAGTATAAAATTAAATATTTTCATATTTTCGAGTTAATTTGTTTTTGATATGGAATATTTAAAAAAAAATACAAATATAGAATTTATTTTTGATTTAACAAATTAATATTTTTCCGAATTATTTATTAGAAGAGTTAATATTTTTACCTTCTCTGATATCTTTAGGTGCATTACAAGAGAGCGATGGCGCTGAAGAATTTTGATAGACATTGGGTCGCGCACCTGTAGGTGGTAGGGTTGAAATTTTGGACCTGTAATTATGAAAATTACAATTTACATAAAATTCTCAACTATTCAATTTAATATAAATGTTTAAATTTTTACAATTAAATAAGTGGTACTATATAATGTTAAAATAAATATCAGTCTTAATTCGAACATTTTGAAAACAGTATTTGTCCTTGAATTTTATGAGGGTTAGTAATCGACTCTTACAGGTATATATTTTTTTTAGACTTGACGGAATTTTTATGGTGTCGAATTTACCTTAGAATTTACAATTTACAGAATTTTAAAAAAGGGTATTTTACTCGAGATTTTATAATAAGCCCAATTTTTAATGTCGAAGAATTTCTATTTAACAAAATTCTGATTTTATAGAATTTCTATTTAACTGAACTTTGATAACGCAAATTTTCTAATACATTGAATTTTCAAATAATACAATTTCCATTTAACAGAATTTCTATCTTGAAAAATTTTCATAAAAAGGAATTTTTATTTATCAGAATATTGTTCTTTTGTCGAATTTCTATATATTTATTCGAATATTCACCTAAAAGTATTTTTATTAACTGAATTTTCAATTAACAGAATTTCTATATAAGAAAATTTTTATTTAACAAATTTTTTATTCGATAAAATTCATATTCGATCGAAGTTTTACTTATCCAAATTTTCATTCAATAGAATTGTGATTGGTTGATTTTAAAACTCCCGCCAAAATATTTCGGAAATGTGAATGTTCAATCAAATGGAAATTAACCAATCACAATTTTCTTGATAATTTTTAATTGGTTAATTTTAAAAACAGCTGCGACTTTGCATGCTTCGGCCATCTGATGGCGACAGAACGTAACCAACTTGTCATTATAATATTACTTTTCTATTTTTTATTTTGTAATCGCATTTTTGCATCGATTCGCACAATCTTTTGGATTTAGGAAATTTATGAGATAAGGATCATTGATACGTTGGCTAATTTCGTAAAAAGTATCCGCGCTTCGAGAAAAAAGTATTTTAAAATTATTGTTTATCATTTTTAAAGCCGACCGATCTCTCTCGTTCTAATTTTCCCTAGCAGATGGAGTATAACATTTTAATCGTCCCCAATGGCAAAAAATATTGAATATAAAAGATTATGTTAGGAAAAATAAATAGTTTACCTCTGTTTACGAATCTTCGGATTCCTGCCGTCAAACGAATTAGGTGTTCCAGCACCGGAAACGTTTGAGTTGTAAGAAGATGGTCGATAAGGACGCGGACAGCCTTGAATAACGGGTGGCGATGGAATTGGCGCGTATTGCAGCCGCGGATTACCAGGAACTGCAGGATGCATAAGCCTCATGTCCCCTGAATAATAATTTTCAAAACACAACTTAGTATAAAGAAAATATAAATTTTACCATTTTTTTACTCTCCAAAATCTTAAATCAAGACTTAAGGCGCAAAAAATGAAAAGAAAGGAAATTTATACTTTTTTTATTGTGAAAATTATAATTTTTTTTACGACTTACCTTGCACAATATGAATACCCTGATAAACTGGCAGTGGGTAACGTGGCTGAGGTTGTGTGTTTCTGTCTCCACCTCCAAATACTTCATGTGCAGGGGTGGGCGATCTGCTCGCTCTTTGTGAACTCCCTGGTGTCGATGCACGAACACCAGTTACAAGCTGAAAAGAAAGCGAAAATGAAAATATTTCTACATGAATAGTGAAACATTGAGAAAACAAGATGTTTCTTTTTTTTTGCACAAAAAATTTTAAAGAAAAAAACTCTTACTGGTACATTTTGCCTAAAGACAATATTAGGAACAAGAGCGGGAGCCATGTATGCCCCTGGAGGAGCAGGCGAAGCACCACTAGGAGCAACTTGATGTCCAAATGTTCCTGTGGAAACCATTGTACCAGGTGGCGCGTAACTTCCAGAGTTCACGTACATTAATGGCAGACCTGGCATCTAGAAAAAGAAATAGAAAACAAAATTTGCAAAACATATTTTACTACAATTTTCAGTGTGCAGATAAAATTTGTAATTTTAAATTATGAAAATTATTCGTATTAACGGGTTCAGAGTGTTTACCAAATTACGAAAGAACAATTTTCTGACTTTTCAATGACAACCTTCAAAATGGCGCCAAATTAAAAATTAAATTAAATTAAAATTAAAAATTTGGCGCCACTTTAATTTCTGCTGTAGTGTTTCTTAAAAATGGGACAGAAATTAAAATGGCGCCAAATTCTAACGGGGCCATTTTAATTTCTGCAGTATTTTTTTGTAGAAATAGACTGAAAACCGCGCCATTTTAATTAATGCTTTAGTTTTTCGTAAAAATAGAACAGAAATTAAAATGGTGCCGTTTGTGCTCTACTCTTTAGTAAAACTAGAGCAGAAATTAAAATGGCACCGATGTAATTTGTCGAGATTTTAATTTATGCGTTACTTTTACTAAAAAATAGAACAAAAACGGCAGTCAGATTTTTATGAAAAACTGGAGCAGAAATTAAAATGGCGTCATTTTTATTTTAATTTTTACAAAAAACTAGAGCAGAAATTAAAATGGCGCTAAATTAAAAACGGTGCCATTTTAATTTCCGCTCTAGTTTTTGGGAAAATTAAAATAAAAACATCGCCATTTTGTTTTCTGCTTTAGTTTTTCGTAAAAATAGGGCAGAAATTAAAATGGTCCCTTTATTTTTTATTAAAATAACGGCAAAAACGGCCCCATTATAATTTCTGTCCTATTTTTATGAAAAATTAGAGCGGAAATTAAAATAGTTTCAAATTACAACGGTGCCATTTTAAATTCTGCTCTACTTTTTTGTAGAAATACAGCAAAAACTGCCCCATTTAATTTTCTGTCCTTTTTTTTACGAAAAATTAACGCAGAAATAAAAATGGCGCTGTTTTTGCTCTATTTTTTAGTAAAACTAAGGCAGAAATTAATATTGGTGCCAAAAACTAGAGAAGAAATTAAAATGGCGCCAAATTATAACGGAACTACTTCATTTTTTGCTCTAGTTTTTCTTAAAAATAGAGCGGAAATTAAAATGGTGCCATTTTTTTTCTCTATTTTTCATTAAAATTACGACAAAAACTGACCTATTTTAATTTCTGTCGTTCTTTTTTGAAAAAATTAGGGCGAAAATTAAAATGGTGTCAAATTACAATGGTGCCATTTTAATTTCTGCTCTTATTTTGCGGAAAAATAAGGCAAAAATAAGCGCCATTTTAATTTCCGCTCTAGTTTTTTGTAAAATTAAAATAAAAACGGTGTCATTTTATCTTCTGCCTTAGTTTTTTTTAAAAATAGGACAGAAATTAAAATAGTGCCGTTTTTGATCTATTTTTCATTACAATTACAGCAAAAATGGTACTTTTTTATAAAAAAAAATGCTTTATTGCTTTACTTTTTAATAAAACTAACGCAGAAACTGGCGGAAATTAAAATTTCACTAATTTTAATTATTAAACCATGTTTAATTTTTTTTTTCTTGCATCATTTGGGTCCTAAAAAAATATAAAGTGGTCAAAAAAAAGAAAATTTTTTACCATTTTAGAATTTTTATTTTTTGAAAAAAGTTAATGATTTTGAAGAATCATTAAAAAAAATATGAAAAAAATATAACCTCGTTTAATAATTTATTTAAATTTCAATTATGGTGCCTCCCCTTAAATCTTAAATTAGATTTTTAAAATAACATATTTTTTCCCAGAGAATTGATTTCAAAAATTATTACGAATTCTTGAATTATGAATCCAGTGACAAGAAAAATGATGAGTTTAATAATAGTTAGCAATAGGAAATTATATATTTTTTAATAAGATTACTATATATTTTATTATTATTTATTTTTATTTTCAATTATTTTGTGGGTGTAATTAAAATTATACAAACCTGACTGGAGGTTGGCGTATTCGGAGGAGTGGGAACTCGATACATAACTGGCGGGGGTTGTATTCCAGGTTGCGGCTGCGGATAATAGGCAGGAACCATGTGCACCGGAGGTTGACACGAAAATTCTCCTGGAGTTGGAGTAACAGCTGGCATCGAATTGTACGGTACACCCGAATAATTACCGACAAAATTCGCTGAAATTTACATTCGTTTATTTTTCAATTTATTTTATTTATTAAAATAATTTATTGTAGGTACATAACATCATTTTTTATTTTTACCGATAAAATAACAATATTCTTCCAAATAAAAATAAATAAAAAAAAAAAAACACTTTAAAGAATTATTTTTATGTTTTTAATTTGCAAAAATTTTGCAATTTTTGCAATGCAATTTTTTTAAAATAAAATATTCTTTTAACTTAATTTTTTGTATTTTAAACAAAAGAAAGAAAATCTTTTACTGAATCACAGTGAGTTCAGTAAAGTTTCAAAAGTTTTATTTTATATTTTTAACAGTGGCTTGAAGAAAGCGGCAAACTCTAGCGCATGAAACGTCGCTTCTACCTGACCTTTCCTTGATCATTTACAACTTAATTTTATTGTTCTTAAAAAAAATTTACAACCATGCAATGTGAAAAGAATTTTTTCCCAAAAACCTTTTAAGGGACAATGGCAAAATAGAAGAAGGCTCCTCAGGTATCAGAATCAAAGTGTTAACCAACGAAAATTGGTTGGAATGTTAAAAACTTGTTGCAATGTTAGAAAACGAGGAAAAAAATTTCAATTTTTAACTGTTAATTAAAAATTCAAATAAGTCAATTTTTAGAATATTGTAAAAATATCGAAATTATACTTGTATGAATATTTTTTCAAAACATACAAGAAAATTTCAAGAACATCGTTTTTTTTTTCAAAAATGGCAGAAAATGTTCTTGAATATTATTTCATCTTGATAAAGTATAAATTTTACTAAGAATTCTTATTGGATTTCTGTAAAAAAAAATAACTTCTCACCATTTGATTGACTTGGTGGGGTCATTGTTTGTAAATTGAATGAATAACTTGTCGAAAATCGTTGCTGCTGTCTCTCTCCAGAATTTTGATTAACTGAAATCGCTCCTGGTGGCGGCACAAAATACATTGTCTGCTGGGGCTAAAAGTTAAATTACAATAACCTATCAGAATTTTCTCCAATAGTAAAAATAAATAAATGATATTCTTTGAAATAATTTATTATGTGTGTTAAATAAATTTTTTACTTTAAAAGCTTAATTTCAGGTAATCAAAAATTTTAATCATTCTCTCTATTCTCATAAAAGAACAGAGAGATGTGAAATTGTTTCAAGTCCTAAAATATTAACTTTTTAAAAATAAAAATTTTCAAATTTAATATTTCCGAAACGAAGCACCTTTACTAAATTTTAATAGCAATTAAATTATAAATTTGCAAAACTTGATAAAAACACTCAAGTTTTCTTATTTATTAAAAAATAATGAAAAAATTAATTTTTTTTGTAGAAGTGTACATGTTTTTTTTAGATTTGCCCATAATTTTTATTTTGACCATGATTATGTTCTAAAAATCATTAGTTAGAATTTTCATTTTATGGAATTTCATTTATTTTTGAGCCGAATTTTTATTTGTTCAAATTAGTATTTTACAGAATTTTCATAAAACGATTTTCTATATTACAGAATTTTTATATAACCGAAAATTCACTATACAACGAAGCTGAAGTACGCAACGTTTATATAAACAATTTTTAAAGAAATAATTTTTTAAAATAAAAAATTTTATACTTTTTTGCCTAAAAAATATTTTTTTATAATTTGTTGATTAATGAAAACTACAAGAAATATTTTTTAAGCAAAAAATTATAAAAATTTTTAATTTTAAAAAATTATTTCTTTAAAAATCGTTTATATAAACGTTGCGTACTTCAGCTTCGTACTACAAAGAATTTTTATTTGTTCGAATTTTTATTCGCTCGATTTTCATTTAACAATAATAGGCATTTAAAAGAATTTTTATTGTGTAGAATTTCATTGCATAGAATTTTCATTTTATTCTTTTAGATGAATTTTCATTTGTTGAAATTATTATTTGATATGATTTTCATATTAACCGATTTTTCATACTACAGAATTTTTAATCAACCGAAAAATCATTTAACAAAATTTCTAATTGATAGAATTTTCATTTGTCCGAAATTGCAAATGGCCGAACAAACAATCGATTTCGGCGCGATTTTTAAAATCAACCAATCACAATTTTATGAATAATTTTTTATTGGTTGATTTTTAAAATCGCGCCAAAATCGATTGTTGTTTCGACCATTTGCAATTTCGGATAAATGAACATTCTATCGTTCAGAAATTTTGTTAAATAATTTTTTGGTTAAGTAAAAATTCTGCAGAAAAATCGATTTTATGGAAATTATATCAAATAATAATTCGAACAAATGAAAATTTATCTGAATAAAATGAAAATTCTATGCAATGAAATTCTACCCAATAAAAATTCTTTAAAATGCCTATTATGTTAAATGAAAAAAGCAAATAAAAATTCTGACAAATAAAAATTCTTTGAAATGAATTTTCGATTACCTATATAAAAATTCTTTAATATAGAAAATAGTTTTAATGAAAATTCTTCAAAATACAAATTCGAACAAATAAAAATTCGTCTCTTAAATAATTATGACAATTCCATAGAATGAAAATTCTAACTAATGATTTTTAGAACGTAATCATGCATATCACAAATTCTAAATGTTTATAATTTAGAATTATAAATTATAATTATTTATAATTTTAATTTTTTAATTAAAAATTCGATTATTTTTTAAAAATAAATTTTTAAATAAGGACACTTACTGGTATATTGTTAGGCGCTTGCCAGAAATTAGGTTGAACCGTCTGAACATTTTGCAGAGCTGGATTTGATGATGGAGGGGGTGGTGGATAAGGATGGGGAGGTGTAGTTTGACTATCGCCTCCACCTCTTTGGTCGTAGATGTTCATTCCCATAAAGTAACCGGATAAATCGGACGCGTCCTAAGGGAAAGCAAAATAAAATTTTATATTAAAAAAAAAAAGTTGCCTTTTGATTTCGTTATCGCAAAAAATCAAAACTAAACAATAAAATTCACCTCTGATTCAAATTCCGAATCAAAACTTTACTTTTGATTCAGATATCTAAATGAAAACTAAACAAAGCTGACTTTTGATTCTGATCCGAAAGAAAAAAAAATGTATTTTCTATTTCTTTCTTATTCTGTGATATATAATAATATATTTTATTGAATATGAATTTTTCCTGACTTACAGGCTGGGGAAGAGGTCCTTGTTGAACAGGTACAGCGTAATTGGCATAGAGTGGATTTTGGTTGAAAATAACATCGCCCTGTCCACTGTTTTGCACCGCAGGCTGACCCTGATGTGGGGTCATCATCACAGTCGGTTGCGTCGTTGAGGCTTGATAGATGCTCTGACTGTTTGGCTCTGAGGTAGGCAAATACGTCACGTAGGGCTGTACAAACTGATTGTGCCCACACGATTGTACTGTTGAGGTTGTTTTGACTAGAGTTTGCGAAGTTGAATTGCCATGCTGCAGGGGCGGCAACGGCGGAGGAGCCGGTGGCGGCGACACTGGTAAACTCGGCGACGTCGCCGAATTCATCACTTGTGTCTGCTGCTGAAATATTTAATTCCGATTTTCATTTTAAATTCTACAGAAGCAAAGGAAGATCGCTTAGTCGCTTTTATAACAAGTACAAACCCACCTGATTCGAAGCCGAATTGCCGCCATTTTTGTGAGATCGTCTCTTCTCCTTTGAGTTTCGTGGCTCCGTTGGTTCCTGCTTTTTGGCAATTGGCTCGCATTCCTCGGGGAAGAATTTCGGCAAATTCTTGGGATCGAAACGATAAATCGAGCCGTCTGGATTGGTGTATGGTTCATTGGTCTGTGGATCGATTATCACACTGCCAGGTGGGACACTCGAGATACTCGACACTGCCCAAACGACAGTCTGATTATTTGGCTCTGGTGAAACGGAATCTTGACTAGAGATTTGGTTATGATTACAACCGAGCGGAGGAATTGGTGAGGGCGACGGCGATGGAGAAATTGTTGTGTCGCTTCGTTGACTTTGCGATTTGTAACCACTGCTCGATGGACTGAGCCGTGAACACATACTTGCACTGGAGTCTGAAAAAAATTTCGAGGATTTAAAATTTTTAACTGGATTCAATTTGAAAATTGAAAAATCAAAAAATACAAACCCTGCTTTGTGAGACGGGGACCGGCGCTGTGCGTTGACATAACGCTGTCTCCTCTCGAGAGCATTCCTCCAGTGTAGCCACCGAAGCTAAAGGATTTTGATACCGAGGGTCTTGGAACTCCGTTTCGCAGTGTTTCCCGTCCATCACAAGATTCGCCCTTCGCAAGTCGCGGTTGTCTAAAAAATTGAAAAAATGATTTCTTCTTTCCTAGAGCCAACAAAATACTTAGTCTTCCCTGCGGTTAAAATTTCGGATTGATTTCAGATTAAATACAGACAAATCAGATCGGATTAGTCGGAAAACAATCCGAAAATGATCTGTATTCCTTGACTTTTCTATAATTTTTCAACGACATCCTTGAAATGTTTCCCTGAGATATTATTAACTATGGTAACTTAATACATATATGATGAATGGCACAATTTTTTGGAAAACTAAAGCAAAAATTAAAATGGCGCCAAATTACAATGGTGCCATTTTAATTTCTACTCTAGTTTTACTAAATAATAAAGCAAAAAACGGCACCATTTTAATTTCTGTCCTATTTTTACGAAAAATTAGAGCAGAAATTAAAATGACGCCGCTTTTTCCCTATTTCTATAAAAAAACTAGAGCAGAAATTAAAATAGCACTTTTATGATTTGGCGCCATTTTAATGTCTGCTCTAGCTTTACTAAAAAAAAATTTTTTTAAATTACGCTAGTTTAATTTTTGACCTATTTCTACGAAAAAGTAAATTAGTAAATTAGTTTTATTAAAAAATAGAGCAAAAGCGGCACCATTTTAATTTCTGTCTTATTTTTACATAAATTAGAGGGTAAATTAAAATGGCGCCAATTTTGTTTTATTTCTATAAGAACCTAGAGCAGACATTAAAGTTGAACTATTTTTGCTCTATTTTTTAGTACAACTTGAGCAGAAATTAAAATAACACCGATGTAATTTGGCGCCATTTTAATATCTACTCTACTTTTTAGTAGCAATAGAGCAAAAATAGCGCCATTTAATTTCTGCTCCAAAATTTTGTAGAAATAGGATAGAAATTAAAATGGCGCTGTTTTTTTCTATATTTCTACAAAGAAACTAGAGCAGAAATTAAAATGACACTGTTAAAATTTACGCCATTTTAATTTCTGCTCTAGTTTTTCCTACAAATAGAGCAGAAATTAAAATGGCGCAAAATTTTAAGAGTGCCATTTTAATTTCTGCTCTAAGTTTCTTTGTAGTAATAGAGCAAAAACAGATTCATTTTAATTTCTACTCTATTTCTACAAAGAATCTAGAGCAGAAATTAAAGTGGCTCAAATTATACATAAAGGTGCCATTTTTATTTCGGCACTAGTATTAGTGAAAATTAGAGCAAAAAGAGTGCCATATGAATTTCAGCTCCAGCTTTTTGTAGTAATAAATCTAAAATGACGCGATTTTAATTTCTGTCCTTTTTTTTACAAATATAACTAGAATAGAAATTTCTGACACTGTTGTAATTTAATGCTATTTTTTAATTTGTCTTGATTGTACAAAAAACTACAGCAGAAATTAAAAAGCTTTCGTTTTTGTCATATTTTTAATAAAAAATAGAGGCGCCATTTTAATTTCTGTCCTATTTTTACAAAATTCTAGAACAGAAATTAAAATGGCGCTATTTTTGCTCTATTTCTACTAAAAACTAGAGCAGAAATTAAAATGACATCAAATTACAAAACGGTCTTATTTTAATTTCTGCTCTAGTTGTACTCAAAAAATAGAGTAAAAACAGCGCAACTTTAATATCTGCTCTAGGTTCTTATAAAAATAAAGCAAAACTGGAGCCATTTTAATTTGTTATTTTTTTTTTTTTGTAGAAATCAGTGCAAAAACGGTGCTAATTTAATCTGCCCTATTTGTATTCCAAAAAACTATATCAGAAAATAAAAAGCTGCCGTTTTTGCCATATTTTAAATAAAAAAATAGAGCAAAAATGGCGCAATTTTTATGTCTGCTCTTTTTTTTTGCGAAAAACTGGAGCAGAAATTAAAATGGTCTTTTTGTCCGCACTGATTTTGGAATATTTCATATTATTTTCGAACTGTTTTCGTACAATTTGGATATAGATTCAGTCCGTTTAAAAATCTGAATCCAAATTGAGTCTGGTAAAATCCGACATTCTGTATGTATTAAATCCACAATTAGTCCGTCATTAATCTGGATTTAGTTAGGTTTTACTGCTTTTATTACAGTTTCTACTCATGCCGCCAGGTGCAGTTCTCTCACAGTTGAGATGAGTCTCAAGTTCTATAAGAACTGTTCACTGTCGGCGTAAAAGACATGTTGCCTTTTAAATAATAGTCACTACTTTGGTTACAATTTCGGAATGTGGAATTAATCCGAAAGTCTGCTTTAAAGTCTATTATCCGGAATTAGTCCAGTTAAGTCCAAAATTATTATTATTTGTGTGAATAATAATCCGGAATTAATCCAGTCTAATCCGAAATTAATTGGATCATACACAACTAATAAATGCAAAATTACTTCCATTGAATCAGAAATTAATCCTGCCTGTGTAATTAGTAAATCTAAAATCTGCATATTCACTAGTTACGTTTGATCAAACTGACTTCGGATTAGACTTGATTAATTCCGAATTCACTGTATTTATACAAATCAGAGAAATTTTGGATTTAGCCGTTCTAATTCTGGTTGACAAAAACCTGACTGTTTCGGACTAATTCCAGATTAATCCGAAAACAATCCAGAATATTTTCCAGGGTTAAAAGAGAAAATAAAGAATTGCTTGTTAAAAAAAATTAAACCTCATAATATTATCAGACGGATGAAGAAGCCGATATCGTGCTGATGCATCGGAACTCTCGGACGACGACCAATATGGCCAGGAAGTGACCTCGCTACTCTCACCGCTGCTATCTTTAAAAATCCTCTGCCTCGCTCTCTCGTACTCCTCTTCTCTCTCCTCGAAACTCTTACTCCTGCGGCAGTATTCTCCTGAAAGTCGATCCGGCGACTTAAAATTGAAACTATCCTCAAATGAGCTCGAATCCCTCTTGAGAATACTTCTTCTTGGCTCTTCTGACAATATCAAATCATCACGAATATGTTGCTTAAAACGTGTATCGGGAATTCGCATATTTTTCGTTCTTGTCACTATCACGCATAATCCTGATTGGTCCACATTGTGCTCCATTCCAAAATAGGCTGCCACACGATGTACCAACATTCGATTGTATGATGACATATTTGGAAATTTGTGACACACCTTTTGTCGATCTTTTGCAAATTCAATGAGATCTTTTTCAATTTTCAACAATACCGTACGATCCTTTTGATTACGATTTATCGTCTCGGCGATAAATTGCTCTAAATCTATTCCCGTGCTGTCTGTATACAATTCCGTACTGCTGTCTGAAAAATAAAAAAAAAAAAAAACATTCTATCCTGACTCTCATTGTTATAATTTTTTTTTTTGGTTTTATTAAAATTCATCAGATGATTGATTTCTTTTGCCTGAAAATTGTTTCGCAAAATTTTATCAGAGCAAATTTGAAACATGAAGGAGCTAAATCTTAATTTTTCAGCTAATTTGAACTAATTTAATTATTCCTCCCGATTAACACTATGCGGTTAGATTGGAGGTTGGCAGTGTGCCACTTGCCTATCAATTTTTTCGAATGTCCTCGTTGAACAAACTGCTCAATATCAATGATCATGCAGAAAATTTGGTTTTAAACATTTTTAAACTGTTTACAGTTTCAGTGAATTTTAAAATTAGTGGCCTCAAGAGATAATTTTTTTGAAACACTTGGTTATGTTCTAAAAATCATTAGTTAGAATTTTCATTCTATGGAATTGTCATAATTATTTTTGAGCCGAATTTTTATTTGTTCGAATTAGTATTTTGCAGAATTTTCATCAAAACGATTTTCTACATGACAGAATTTTTATATAACCGAAAATTTATTTCACAGAATTTTTATTTGCCGGATTTTTTATTTGGCAGAATTTTTATTGGCTAGAACTTCATTGCATATAATTTTCATTTTATTCTTTTAGATGAATTTTCATTTGTTCAAATTATTATTTGATATGATTTCCATATTAACCGATTTTTCATACAAAAGAATTTTTAATCAACCGAAAAATCATTTAACAAAATTTCTAATTGATAGAATTTTCATTTGTCCGAAATTGCAAATGACCGAAGCAACAATCGATTTCGGCGCGATTTTTAAAATCAACCACTCACAATTTTATGAATAATTTTTTATTGGTTGATTTTAAAAATCGCGCCAAAATCGATTGTTGTTTCGACCATTTGCAATTTCGGATAAATGAAAATTCTATCATTTAGAAATTTTGTTAAATAATTTTTCGGTTAAGTAAAAATTCTGCAGAAAAATCGACTTTATGGAAATTATATCAAATAATAATTCGAACAAATGAAAATTCATCTGAAAGAATAAAATGAAAATTCTATGCAATGAAATTCTAGCCAATAAAAATTCTTTAAAATGCCTATTATGTTAAATGAAAATTCGAGCAAATAAAAATTCTGTTAAGTAAATTTTCGGTAACATAAAAATTGTCTAATATAGAAAATCGTTTTGATGAAAATTCTGTAAAATACTAATTCGAACAAATAAAAATTCGACTCAAAAATAATTATGACAATTCCATAGAATGAAAATTCTAACTAATGTTTTTTTAGAACATATTCATGCGTCCAATTTGAGGCGCGTGAAAAATATACAAAACCCAATTGTCCGAATGACCATTTGATCGAAAAACCAGATGTCCGAATGAAGTTTTAGCAGAATCTTTTTTTGTCCGAAATAAAAATTGCCAGAATATTTATTTCTTCAATTTTACAATGAACATAAAATTTACTGTTCCGAAATCATTTTTGATCGAATTTTCATTTCTCAGAATCTAGATTCATACGAATATTTATTTTTCCGAATTTACGTTAATCCGAAAGTTTTTTTTTACAAAAAGTGGAAGTATTCGATTTTTATTCATTTATTTTCAACAATTCGTAACAAGGAATGACAGAAAATATTTTTAAATACAGTCAAATAAATATTCTGTAAAACGTTATTTCGGACAAATGAAAATTCGGATAAACGTATTTTCTATTAAAAATCTTTTCTGACAGACGTCATTTCGGAAAAAAGAAAATTTAGTTAAATTATTAATCGGTTTAATTAAAATTCTGACAAACCTTATTTCTATTTAAATAACTTTCTGTCATTTTGTAATTCGATTTAAAAAACTTTCTATCATTTATTAATTTTGTTTAATAATTTTTCGGTTCAATATTATTTCAGAAAAATAAACATTCTGTCTAATGACATTTCGGAAAAACAAATTTTCTGTCATTCATTGTTTCGAATTGTTGAAAATTCGATTAGACAGTAATTCGGTATAAATAAAAATCGGACTTTTTGTAAAAAAAAAACTTTCGGATTAACGTAAATTCGAAAAAATAAATATTCTTCTGAATCTAGATTCTGAGAAATAAAAATTCGGTCAAAAATTATTTCAAAACATTAAATTTTATGTTCATTGTAAAATCGAAAAAATAAATATTCTGGCAATTCTCATTTCGGACAAAAAAATATTCTGACAAAACTTAATTCGGACAACTGGTTTTCGTTCAAATGGTCCTTCGGATAATTGGGTTTTATATGTTTTTCATGCGCCTCATCTGATTTGTTTTTAAAAAAAAAGAATTGAGGGCCTCCATGCAATAAGGGGACGAGCGCGCCAGTAGAAGTCCCCACGGACGGCGCGCGGCCGGCTGCGCAAGGAGACAACGAAAATCACGTTCGTCCCCTTATTGCATGGAGGCCCTCAATTTAAAGGCAAAAATTATACAAATTGAGAAAAAAGAAACGTATAATTATTTGCCGAATGATACGAACCTCGCGAAAGAGAAGGCGAAGCACTCTCGTAGCTTCCCTGTGACGATGAATTTTGATGCCTAAGTTTATGCCTCGAGCCAGGTCTACTCACTGATAATGTATTTCCACATTGTTGCGAGCATTGATTATTGCAAACATTGAGCGTATTTGGCCTTCGTTGCTCCGATTTGTGCTGATTATTTTGTGTCTGATTACCACTTTTTTGCGTGTTATGCTGTTGTGCGCTCTGATTCGTTTTTGAAGGCGAGATCGGCGTTTGCAATAAACCGGGTCTTTCGTTTTGATTGTTTTTCACGCAATTATTACATTTTGAATTATTCGATTTTGATCGATGATTCTGATTCTCCTTGCCATTCGTTGAGGATACACCATTTTTAGGGGAATGGACTTGCGAGGGACTAGAGGGACCTGCAAATAAAAAAAATTATTAAAAAAATATATATATTAACTAGAATTGTTTGCAAAATTAATTATTTTCAATAATTTAAAACTAATTTTTCGAAATTAAAAAAAAAAAAGAAAAATAATTATCAGTGGAAGAAAAAATTTGAAAAAAAATACAATTACCATTTCTTGATGGAGTGCGACAAGTGGGAGAAGTGGCGGAATTTCGCATTTGCTTGGAATTCTGATTTGGACAGAAATTGCTGTTAAACATTGGCTCGTTATTGTTGAGTTGCTTGGAATTGGGATTTGGTGACAAACTGTTCGGCGAGGAGCCGTTGTGAGGCTCTCGGGGTGGTGACGTTGACTCCCTCATCGCATGGCTTCTAACTAACAGTTTCACTTTTGTGTTAGACTGGAAAAAATAAATTTTCCACATTCAGCAAAAAAAAAAATTCAAATTAACAAATTTTAATATCAAAAAATTGTTTTTCAAAAATTCATCAAATCTTAATTTAGTTATGAATTTAGTTCTACATAAATGAAAAATAAAGTTGAATTTTGAAAATAATTTTTTTTTTTTCAAAATATATTTTCTTACTCGATTGCGAAAATTTTTGTCGGAATCTTTATCTGGAGGTGTCGATCGATGTTGAGGATTCGAAGTGGTTTCATTAGGAGGATTTGCATTTCCGTCTATCATATCCGAATCTGTGTTCGAAAAGGACGCGGAGGCACCGACGACGAGGCTCTGCTTCGAGGATGACAACGATGGCATTCCTCCTCCGCACACCACCACCGTCGGACTCTCCGGTCGACTCTGCGACCTATTGCCCTTATGCACCACAATGCTTGGAACTGAAAAATCAAAAACAGAAAATCAATTATCAAAATTCTTTAATTAAACAAAAATAAATTCCATTACTTTTTTCTAAATAAATTCAAAAAAAAAAAAATTAAATTATTTTTTCATATTTATTTTTTTCTAAATAAATAAAGTACCTAAAAAAAAATTACAATATATTTATTCAATTATTGACAAAATTTAGTGATAAATATTTTTCCTTTCAGTAGGTACAAATTAATGTAAATTATTACATTTTTAAACAATAGAAAAAAATAAACTCATATTGAGAGGAAAATTTGCCTTCTGATAGCCATATCATATTGTCCTCTTAAAACGAGAATACTATTTTTTTCAATGAGATTTTATTCATATTTTAAAAGGGAGAATAACAAATGGAGTATTTTAAGTTCCATTCGATTGTATAATTTGCATGAGTATTTTATTTCGTGGTAGATTTTAGGGCGTATGAATATCCCATAAAAATCATTAGTTAGAATTTTTATTTTAAACTTTTAAAGTATTTTAAAATGAAAAATAATTATTTTTTTTCGACGAATTTTCAATTTTCGAAACAAATTTTGCCAAAATTTTGTTTTTATACAAAATTTTTCCCTAACGAATTTTTATTTGGCAGAATTTTTATTTTATAGTCATTTATTTTTCATTGACAGAAATTGCAATTCGCCGAATTTTCATTAATCCGAATTTTTATTTGTACGAATTTTAAATTTTACGGATTTTTAAAACTCTGAATTTTTATTTGTCCAAAATTGAAAATGACCGAAAAAACAAGAAAGATTTCGGCGCAATTTTCAAAAATCGCCCAATCACGATTTTCTTGATAATTTCTAATTGGACAATTTTTGAAAATTGCACCGAAATCTTTCTTGTTTTTTCGGACATTTTTAATTTTGGTCAAAAAAAAAATCAAACAAACGAAGAATTCGGATAAATTAGAATTTTTTTTTTAAATAAAAAATTGGATAAAGCGAATTTCTGTAAAATAAAAATTCCATTAAATATTAAATATTTGGTACCTAAAAATTCTGTTAAGTAAAAATTTGTTTAATAAAAAATTCTCTCAAATGCTAATTCGAAAAATGCAAAATTCGCCTAAAAAATAATTATATCTAATAAAATTCTTTAATATTAAAATTCTAAACAATGACTTTTATGGGATAATCATTAATTAGTATTTTCATTTTAAAGCATTTTATTAGATATAATTATTTTTTTAAACGAATTTTCATTCAATTGAATTTTATGTGATTCGGTTTTTTAATGTGACCGAAATTCCTATATTCATCGAATTTTAATTTGTTCGAATTTTTATTTGTACAAATTTTAATTTGTTCAAATTTTAGTTTCTCCGAATTTTTATTTGTACTAATTTTTTAATTGTACGAATTTTTACGACGCTAAATTTTTATCTGTCCGAAATTACAAACGGCCGAAAAAACAATCGACAGAAAAATTACGCCAAAATTATTCTGTTGATTTGTTTGTTCGACCATTTGTAATTTCGGACAAATAAAAATTCGGACAAACTAAAATTTGGACGAATTAAAATTCGGACAAACTAAAATTTGGACAAATTAAAATTCGGACAAACTAAAATTTGGACAAATTAAAATTCGGACAAATAAAAATTCGGGCAAAATATAATTCGGTGAATTGGAATTTGTCTTTTCAAAATTTTTAATTTCAAATAAGATTTTACTCTTATGAATTAAGTGCTCCATAATAATATTTGTGCCGATTTTTTTTCATTGCGGATAATTTTCTTTTATAAAACAAAAAAAAATAAATAAACGAGTGCAAAATAGTAGTTTTGAAAATTTTTTTTTTCCTCGTCGAGTTGGCGCAATAAAAGAATAACACACACTTACTCTCCAGACGGGCCATGTGTTAAATGTGTCATGGATTATAGTGCAGGACTCGGCAATGCGGTGAAGTTCAAATGAGTGCAAAGTTAGTACAAGAAATTTACAAAAACATGCAGCTCAAACAGCTCAACTAGGAACCAAACTGCACCGCCACCTTCCAACAGCCTATTATTCTGCAAGCAAATTAATAAAGCCTCTGATTCACTCTAACCAATTAATATATTATTAATTCCAACCGAATTTAATTACCGAAAAAAAAATTTTAAAAAAACCATTTAACTAGGCAATTAAAATTAATTTTTTTTAAAAATAATTTCTATGCTAAAATAAGTGTTTTTGTTATAATATTTTAAAAACGTTAATTTAAAAGCAAATTTTTAATTTATTTCTTTAGAGAAAAAAAAAATTAATTTTCTATTTCAATTTCTATGCTAGAAATAAGTTGTTCGTTAAAAATTAAAATATTATCTTTTTTTATAAAAAAAAAAAAAAGAAACATTACAAAGAAGTAAATAGTTGGAAAAATAAAGAAACAAACCTCCAATTGCAAAAAGTATTGGTCTCCATTTTTTTTTTTTTAAGTTATCAAAGCGAGGGAACCCTTAATAACATATTTTTTTAATCCTTAATAGAAAATTAATTTTATTTACGCACTATAGTTCAATTAGGAACTTTATTTAATTTCGAATTTGAATCACACCATAATTTTTTTTTTTTTTTTTTTATTTTATTTAATTAATGAGCATTGACGGTAGTAGAAAATTAAAAAGAAATTTCACGTCTCTCCGATGCACTCTTTCAAGCTGGAATGGTAAAAAGTTGCGAATAATGCGCCGCAATATTGTTCTCACATCAAAAACACTGAGAATTAACCTAAATTTCAATTAAAATTATATGAATTTTTGAAAAAAAAATTATTTTTTACAACCCGATTTTTTTTTATTTTCAAAAAAAAAAAATTGTTTTCGGAATTTTTTTCCAAATTTATAATTCCAGTTAATTTTTAAAATCCGGAAATCCGAAAAAAATTAAAAAAAAAAAAAAAAAAAGTAATAAGCTCTTTGGAGACGAAAAAAATATGCAATTAAATTGTCGCCGTAAAGTTCGGCTGAAGCGTTGAGCGCGCGCGTTGCCGAAAGTAAAAAATCAATTTAAATACATTTCAATAGAGAATATTGTTGAAAAATAGATTAAAAATGATTAAAAATGGATTGTTTAATTAGATTAAACAATATATTTCATATAGAAAATTTTATTTTGTAAATAATTAAATTAAAATTATTATTTTATATACAATTTGAATTTTCTAATGAGAATTATTTCCGATGTTTAAAAATTGTCTTCAAAACAAAAATTTAATTAAAATTGACTTAATTATATAAAAAAAATCTCCTTTTTTAAAATTACACCTACATATTTAAAACTCTAAGCATATTTTTTTGTTTGAAAGCAATTCGTTGAGCGCTAAGCGTTCGCGGTTCTTGATTAAAAAAAAAGAGAGAGAGAGAGAGATGAAAATCACAACCGTAGATTTCAAAAAAAAATCTCGCACAAATTCTATGAGACTATTCGATTGTAAATCATCATGTCAAGTTTCGCTTTGAAAAATGGACAAAGCAAAACGCGAGGCATTTTGGTGTTTTTATTTATTTATTTTTTATTTTTATTTTTTGAAATTTTGAGCAAACACATATACACGCACGACCTACCCGAAGAAGCTTAAAGGAAAGACTAAAACTCGACGGATCCTAATCGCGGGGAGTTCGTACGCTGATGAGAAAGACGCGTGCGCACGATGCGTGATCTACCCCATGAGGTATAACATCTCACTAACGGGTGTCTAAGAGTTTTTCTCCGAAATTTCATCGAAATTCAGAAACAAAAGGCAGAAAACAAGCGTAATTCAAAATTCTAAACTTTTTTTTTCTTTTTTTTTTTATATTGATCCTCCCCCTCTGTTTTTCATTGTCATTAAACTTTCAAGGACAAATTCTACATCGATTTTTTTTTCCATTAAAAATAGAAGAGGGCATTTTTTTTTTAAACATATTAATTATTTTTTTTAGACAAATTATCAATTTTCGAATTAGCATTTGACGGAATTTTATTTATACGAATTTTTATTTAACAAAATTTTTAGCTATCGAATTTTTGTTTAGCTGAATTTTTTGTTTTACAGTCCTTTTCTTTACATGACTTTTTATTTAAAAGAATTTTAATTTAGCAGAATTCTCATCCATTCGAATTTTATGTGATTCGAAATTTTAAATTCCAATTCACTGAATTAAAAATTGTTTGAATTTTAATTCTACGAATTTTTATTTGACCGAAGTTACAAATGTCCGAACAAACAATCGACAGAATGATTTTGGCGCAATTTTTAAAATTGACCAATTAGAAATTATCAAGAAAATCGTGATTGGTCAATTTTAAAAATCGCGCCGAAATATCTTTCTGTCGATTGTTTGTTCGGCCATTTGTAATTTCGGACAAAAAAAATTCGGAAAAATTAAAATTCAGTGAATTAGAATTTCTGTCATTTAAAAATTCGAATCACATAAAATTCGATTGAATGAAAATTCTGTTAAATTAAAATTCGCATAAATAAAAAGTCACATCAAAAAAAAAATTGTAAAATAAAAATTCAGCCAAACAAAAATTCGGTAGCTAAAAAAATGTTGTTAATTAAAAATTTGTATAAGAAGAAATTCTATTAAATGCTAATTCAAAAAATGAAAATTCGTTTAAAAAATAATTATATCTAATAAAATTCTTTATAATGAAAATACTGATTAATGATCATCCCATAAAAAGTCATTGTTTAGAATTTTAATATTAAAGAATTTTATTAGATATTATTATTTTTTAGGCGAATTTTGCATTTTTCGAATTAGCATTTGAGAGAATTTTTTATTAAACAAATTTTTACTTAGTATTTTTAGTTACCAAATTTTCTATTTAACGGAATTTTTATTTTACAAAAATTCTCTTTATCCAACTTTTTATTTTAAAAAAAAATTCTAATTTATCCGAATTATTCATTTGTTCGAATTTTTATTTGTCCGAAATTGAAAATGTCCGAAAAAACAAGAAAGATTTCGGCGCAAATTTTTAAATTGACCAATTAGAAATTATCAATAATAATCAATAATTTATTGATTCAACTAAACTAAATTATTTAATATACAAATAACGTAGTATTTAATACGATAAATTAAAATAGATCTAGTAAATATTTATTTGTTTCAACTACATATTTACTGGATAATAGACAAGTAAATTATTTACTTGGATCAAGTAATTTTTTTATTCAATCCAAGTAATTTTTATTTGATCCAAGTAATTCTTTCTTTTTCATTGTAGTGTTACGTTTACAAATAAAATTGAGATGTTAAAGTCATCCTGTGTAATAAAGTTTTAATAAATGCAAAAATGAGTTTTTTTATAATCAGAAAAAAATTTTCTTCAAAAAACATTAAATGAGAGAATTTTAAAACAGCTCAGTCTGCTAAATTCTTTATTAAGACTATTTTTTGTTGTCTTGGAAGACAAGATAAAAAAATTAAGAAATCCACCAGAATATGTTGATTTTTTTATACAATTTACTAATTATTTGACCTGATTCTGTTTTTATTAATAAACCATCTAAATTATTTATACATAAATGGTATTTCAAAAGTGAAGTTCAAATTTGTTTTTCACTATATTATTAAATTTATTTACTATTTCATAATTTTTTTTTTCTTTGGGTAAACATATAAAATTGAATGTCTAAAGAGTAAAATAATTCAATACCTATATCATTAAGAATGAAACATATTCTACGTCGTTAAAAACTATTTCAGCTAAAATTGAAGAAATTACGAAACCAATTCGTGTTCCATTCACTTGGTTATAAAATTATAAAATTTCAAATATATTAAATTCATTATTTTTTATAGAATTCAGTAAATTTTTGGAATTTTTACTAAAAATATCAATTTACCTTCCACTACTTTTTTAAAGATAAAAAAACTAAATTGCGTCCTCGTAAAATTTCGAGTTAATTCAATCCTTACCTAAAATTATAAAATTAAAATTTTTTTTTTAATTATTAATCTAAATTTTTCCTTGAATGAATAATTAAATAATTTATTAAAAATTAAATGATGAATTGAATAATAAAAATTTGTGTATTGTAGAGGTATAAGATTTAAGTGTATGTTTAAAGTTATTATATATTTTTTTTTTGAAAAAATGTATAAACCTAAAAATCTCAAGTTAGGAATGAATAAAATGATCGTTACAGTAAAAATATCTCTAAAGAACCTATTATATATTTCATTTTGAAGCTCTGTATAAATGCCATTTATCTGTACATCTGTGCATTTAAATAATCGATATATCCGCCGCACTCCGAAATCTTTCCACTTCGTCAATCGTTGCTCGTATCTCAGAGCACATAAAACGCGAAACTCGTATATTCACTTTATTCGACATTCCAAAGTTAACAAAATGATGTCCTTCAACAAAATTACTTGAAAAAAAAATTCAAATAATAATTTCAATAGTCAATATTTAATTTACCATCAAAATTATTATTTTTATTTATTTTCTGAAATTATTATATATTATTTAAGTAGCTTAATTATTTAAAATTTCTAAATTATGTGACAAAACTTAAAAATTTTCGATCTTGTACGCATAATTATCAAAATAAATGTAATAAATTTCTTATTAATGGGAAATTAATTATTAAAACACGAACTCCTATTCAAATCGCATTCCAATTGGAATTGTCAATTATCAATCCGCATTCTTAAAAACTCATCCGATTCCCAAAGGCATTTACTTAATAATCTTTTTTTGCCATAGGTAACTAAAAAAATGAACAAACGAGACAAACTTAACTGATAAACAAACACTGTACTCATTTTTGTACTCTTAAAAAGTATAATTTGAATCTAACGGTGTAATTTCCTTTCTCCCCAAAAATGCATTTTCAGTGTTTCACTGTGGAGGTGTGATGAAAATCATTTCCATTATTCGTGACAATAAATCTGAGAGGTTATTGCAGAAGGGAATGTGTGTTGCTCGACATAATTCGCATTGTAATGTTCCTTTCTGGATCAACGAATGGTGTCTATGACCTATATAACACGCGCAAGCGGAACTAGGTCGTGCACCCCCGTATGCCCTGGAATAATACAAGGTGTCCCTTAAATACCCGACTTTCACCATATATATATCTTTTATTTTAGCAGAAAAATATTATTCAAAATGATAAATTAGTTAAAATAAAAATCAGGATATGTTTTTTTATTGTCTTATTTCTCTGTTGTTTTAATTATTATCCATCAATCAGGAATTAAGAGCAGCGGATTTGTAATCCATTCTATAATCATTAAATTTCTGATTAAAAATTTAGTTACTATAAAAGTGAGATATTTTTATGCGATCGATAAGTAGATCAAGAAAATAGTGATAAATCGACCTTTAGTATTGTTATAAAAGTAAGTTGTTAAAAATTTATAAACAATTGAAATTTTATTTAGTAAATAATTTTTTTACAACTTTCTTTTAAAAAATATTAAAATATAAGCGATTGTAGAGTAGGTTTCACTGAATAAAATCACAGAAAATTAAAAGGCATTAAAATAAGTTGCAATGCTTATTATTTTAATCCAATTTTGCTTATTTTAATCCATTTTGGTATTAAAATAAGCAAAATTGGATTAAAATAATAAGTGTTGCAGCTTATTTTAATGCCTTTTAATTTTCCGTGATAAGCCATTGTTTATTAAAATTAGATAAAAACTGCGTGATTTTTGTCTGAGCTGAAAGAAAACAAAAAAAATGTTAAAACAAATAATTATTTAAAAAAAAGATTTTGAATCAACATCGGTTTATTCTGCAAAATGGATAAATTCTAAAATTGGTTGCAATTAATTTCAATCATAATTTTGTTTGCGTTAAATTGTTAAAAAAAAAATAATTTCTTAGTTTTTGAGGTTATGTTAACGTGCACCATTCCTCCTTAAATAAACATAGTATATATATATTCAACTTCAGTAATAAATCATTCCACAAAAAGTACATCTGAAATACTAATGACTTTGGCATTAACTTCTTTTTCAAGAATTTGCACGCAATTAAATAATTTTAACATTGTAAAATTTATTATTCGAGTCAATTCCAAAGAAATCCTAAAAAAAACCACTAAATAATTGTAAATAAAAACTTACTAAAGGTTCCCATTAAAGAATTTGTCCTCCTAAAATTCCTACTAAAGACTCAAAACACCACTAAATTTAGTGGGGAAAACCATACTAATTTGGCAAAAATAAAAGAAGGATTGCTGATTCGAATTCAGAGTTAAAATTTACCTTAGAAGTAGGTTTAATTTCTGTCCTATTTTTACTAAAAACTAGAGCAGAAACGGCGCCATTTTAATTTTTGCCCTATTTCTACGAAAAACTATAGAACAGAAATTAAAAAGTCGCCGTTTTTGCTCTATTTTCTACAAAAAACAAGATCAGAAATTAAAATGGCACTGTTAGAATTGGCGCACTTTTTAATTTCCGTACTATTTTTACAAAATACTGGAGCACAAATTAAAATGGCGCCAAATTATATAGGTGCCATTTTAATTTCTACTTTAGTTTTACGAAAAAAAGAGCAAAAAAGCGCCATTTATCAGTAAAACTAGAGCAGAAATTATAATGGCCCCTCTGTAATT